CCGTCTGAGCCAGCGCTCGCTCTAGCGCCGCTCTGATGGGGTTCGGGGAGAGGCAGTGGGGCCAGGCTTTGTCAGAGAGCAGCGGGCATGCCAGGAGGTTCACCCAGAGGAGAAGCAGCCTCTGCCGGGTTCTCTCCAGGGGCTGAGCCAGCGCTTTGTGAAGCGCGTGGGCTGGGACCTCGAGGAACCTGCGTGCCGGCTTGGTTTCCAGGGATCTGACAAGCCTCCTGGAACTGGTTCTTGGCAGTACTCCCCCTCCCAGATGTGCCAAGAGGGCTGAGGGAATCCCGTGCAGCCGCTCCAGGCCCTACCAGGCTCTGCCAAGGAGACACTGACAAGGGGAAAGGCAGGCAAGGCCTCTGGGCCCGTAGCCTGAGCCCAGGGCGCTGCGGGAGGAGCATCGTTGGGAAGGAAGCCTGGACGGCTGGGCTGGAATGAGGCCTTCCCCCTGGCGCTCCCAAGGCAGCTCCTCCAAGGGGCAGGTGGGGCAGCCACATGGGAAGCCTGCACAAGGTCTCATGCCAGGCGCCCGTGGCTGTGCTGGGGAGGTGGGCGCAGTCCCAAGGCCTGGTGGTGCCAGGGTCAGGTCCTTGGGGCAGCTCCTACAGACGGGTATGACCATCCCCATTTTCTAGGTGGAAAAACTGAGGCCCAGTTAAGGGGAGCACTCGGTTCCTCAACTGCTTAGCCAGGATCTGCACCTAGACCAATGCAGAGGTCGGCTTGGAATCTTTGTCTTTATGGCCTTTGGCCTCAACCATCATCTTTTGCCTGTGTCCCCACCTGGCCTGGCTAGCAGTTGGAGGGTCTCTGGGGGAGGCCCCTCATTTCTGAGAGCCCCTGAGCTACATGTGGGGTCAGTGCTCCTCAGGCCCATGGTCCTTGCCAGGGCAGGGCCTGCTGTTCTCCCCGCCCCTTCCAGCACCATCCCTCAGGCCCACTCGCCAACCCTGGGTCCTCACCAGACCCTTCCCCTGTCTGCCTTTGGGCCTCTGCTCAAGTGCCACTCCCCTTCCAGCCAGGGCCTGTGGGCGTCCCCTTCCTGGCTCTCAGCCCTGTCAGGGGCAAGGAGAGTGCTCACGAGGCTTCCTGGGGCAGGTGTTGGCTGTGCCGAGGTGGGGAGGGCCTTCAGAAACCCAGGTGCCCATGCACAGTGGGGCTGGCTCAGAGGCAGCGGCCTTCTGCCTGGCCCCGGCTCTGCACCCAGAGGCTGGGGAAGGGGGTGGGGCAGGGCCTGGCCTGCCAGTCAAGTTTGAACTTTATCCTGGGGGGTGGTAGAAGGGGTGAACCTCTTACCTGCTGGCTCACCATCCCGGTCTGGGGAAGCCACCTGCTGGGCTGTATCTCTTAGTGACCAGAGAACTGCCTGGGCAGAATGGAGCTGTGACATGTGCTCTGGCACACCGCTAGACCTGCCCTCAGGGAAGGCTGGGCAATATTCCATTATAAGCACAGACCACATCTTGTTTATCCCTCATCTGCTGGCAGACACTTGGGTTGCTTCCACCCTTGGCCATTGTGAATGCTGCTACTATGAACATGGTGTAATGATATATGTGCAAGTTCACTTCCAGTTATGTTGACTAGGGACCTAGAAGTGGAATTGCTGGGTCAGGTGGTAATTCGGTTTTAAACTTTTTGAGGAACCTCCAAAATGTTTTGCAGAGAAGCTGCACCATTTTACATTCTCACCAACAGTGCATGAGGGCTCCAGTTTCTCTGCATCCTTGCCAACATTTGTAGTTTCCTGTTTTTTAAACAGGAGCCCTCGTGGTGGGTGTGAGGCGGCACCTCATTGTGGTTCTGATTGTGTTTCCTTGGTGGCCGTGATGTTGAGTCATGGTTTTGTTTTCACATGAATGCGCTGTGTGTCTTGTCGCGTGAGCTCTGCCCATCTGTGCGCATTGCTCCCTCGTGTCAGGGCAGTGTGAGCGGACTGCGAAGTCTCTGCTCATTCTACTGCTGATGGCCATTGGGTGGTTTCCCATTGGAGGGATTGCAAGGAGTGCTGTTAAGAACATTCTAGAGCAGGACTTTTGGTGAACATAGCCTTGTTTTTTAAATGTAAGCCACTCCTCTTTGGACGTTAGTGTTGCATATGTAAAACAATCAATAAAGTGCATGATGCATCTTCCCTGAGGGCCCTTCAGAGCTTCCTCGGGCTGCTAGGAGCCCCACAGGACAGGGCAGGCCACCTGTCCACCGCGCCCTCCTGCTCCCTCTCCCGGTGGCCCCGATGCGCCCTCAGTTTCTAACCTCAGAGCAGCCGCTTTTGGCCCGGACGGCGCCCTGCCTTCCGCCTTCCGATATCCCGAGAGCCCGCTCTCACCACTAAGCTGGGCAGCTGAGCGTGTGACCGGGTCCTCCCTGTGCCCAGGGATCTTCGGGCAGCGCCTGGAGGACACAGTGCACCACGAGCGGAAGTATGGCCCACGCCTGGCGCCCCTGCTGGTGGAGCAGTGCGTGGACTTCATCCGGGCGCGTGGGCTCAGCGAGGAGGGGCTCTTCCGCCTGCCCGGCCAGGCCAACCTGGTGCGGGACCTGCAGGACGCCTTTGACTGTGGGGAGAAGCCGCTGTTTGACAGGTGAGCTCCTGGGGGAGGTAAGAAGATGGGGCCCCTCCCCTTCCCCCATGGCTGGGTGGGCTGGTGCCAGGAAGCCTAGCAGCAGGCTGGTGGGCAGAATGGTTCCGCGCTGGGGTGCATGTGCGCTCGGCCAGCCCCCCAGCGGGCAGAGCACAGCCCCCAACCCTGCAGCAGCCCTCGGTCTCCTCTCAGGGGCGGTCCTGCCACAGACCAGGCCGCTCACATCCACCAGGCTCTTCCCTTTGCCCCTCAACGTGACCCAGGCCGAAAGGGAGGGCCTCGCTGCATCGGGACTGAGGCCCCAGGGGTGGTCTGTCCCTGGCTGCTTCCTCCCGTGACCTGTAGAGCTCCTCCAGCGCCAACACGGAGCAGTCGCTGTGGCCCCCCCATCCTGTCAGGTTCCTGGATGGGGAGCGAGCCTGCCCCACCTGTCCTGGCCAGCGCCCATCCTACCCCATCGCTGGGGCTCACAGGGCCCAGGGTTCACCCTCTGGGTGGAGTCAGCCTCACTCAGAGCCAGTGGCTGAGAACAGGGGCGATGGATGGGGCTGTGTGGCGTCTCCTCTCTGAAAGGAACCGACCCATCGGGACAGTTGTCCATGGGGAGTTCCTCCTGCCCTTTCTCCGTGGATCTGCCTTCACGATGCGGCCCCCTCGGCCCCAGGATAGGTTCATGGGTTTTTGCTGGCAACCGGGGCCTCCCTGGCCTCCTTCTGGGGCAGAACACCCCGCCCTCCAGCTTCTGCCCAGACCCGTCACCGAGCCAGGAGGGTCTGTCAGCTCCTTTCTGCAGATGTGGAGCCGGAGCCTGGCCACCGGTCCCCAGAGGGGTCTGCCCAGGAGGCACAGGGTCCTCTCACCAGGAGCCTCATCTTTATTTTGTTAATCCATTTTCCCATTGGTTTTTAGAGAGAGTGCAAGTGAGGGGGCGAAGCAGAGAGAAACAGCGATGTGAGAGAGACACACTGATTGGTTGCCTCCTGCACATGCCCCGACTGGGACCAGGGATCAAGCCTGCAACCAGGGTATGTGCCCTTGACCGGAATCGAACCCACAACCCAACACTGTAATCATTGAGCCAAACCGGCTAGGGCTGGAGCTGCATCCGGATACTCTGAACTTGTGGTCCATTCTGAACCTCTGCCTGCCAGGACTCTTCCATCCTGTGTCTGTGTGGTCCAGGGCATGGGTGGAGATGTCTGTAAATACTGCCCCTTCTGTGATTCCTGGAGACTCACCCTGGACCTTGGGCTCTGGCTGCTTTTCCTTCTAGAACTGCATCTGCGCCCACAGCCGCCATTCTTCCCCCTTCTCACCCCCGTGGGTGCCCTGGCCCTGCATCTGTACCCACCCCTGTGTAGGTCCCAAGGCTCCCCTCCTCATTCACTCCCCCACAGAGGGGTCCAGCAGCGACTCCCCTCACCGCCTGCTGGGCCAGGCTTTCCAGAGAGGCTCGCTCCCTAGGCACAAACCACACTCATTGTCTGCATGACAGGAACGTCCGCCCCAGGTCCTGGGCTCCCTGTTCCATAAAGAGCCCAGAAGCCTGGAAGCTCCTCACCAGAGCTGGCTCCTACCCAGCCCTCCCCCAACCCTGGGCCTGGGGCAGCTCTCCCAGGCCTGCCCCCCTGCTGCCCAGTCTGCTTTGAGCCACACCTGCGGGCTCCCCTAACTCTCCCCTTGCCCTTTCTTACTTCACTCCAGTTTCTTCACTCACCCACTGAGTGAGCGCCCTGCAGGCATAGGGTGTGGCCACGAACTAGACGGACAAGGTCCCGCCCTCCAGGGGCCAGCACAGATGGCTAACAAGTAAACGCAGCAAACACTTTGCTTGCCAAGACTAGGACCAGGACCGGATCCCAGAGCCCAGGCCGCTGCCCTCCACGGGGCCCCCTCAGCCTGGGCAGCTCTGAGCTGGAAGACTGAAGACTGGGAGCGGACTCGTGGGGTGCTGGGGCGCTGGGGCGCTGGGGTGCTGGAGATAGGGTGAGGAGCACAGAAGCCCAGGCGTCCATTGTGTGAGCGGAACCCAGAGGTCAGGGGCAAGGGTCTGACCTCTGACCTGCATGCCCTGGTGGCCTGTGCCCTGGGCCTGCACTCTTTGACATGGCCCTCCCCCTCCATCGATGTTTCTCTCTGTCTCTCCCCCTCCCTTCCACTCTCTCTGATGGAGGGCAAGTGAGGAATGGGCACTCTCAGGCTTGGGCAAGGACAGCTGTGTCCCTGGCTCCTTGCCCCCCGCCCCCCCCCCCCGTGTCTCTTTTGTGCACATGCGCACACACGTGCCGGGCGTGGGAGCAGAGGCTGCTCCTGGGGGGCCTGTGCTGGCCACTCCTGCAGTCCCCTGGCCCCATGCTTCTCGCGTGTCCCCCTCTGGCAGCACAACAGATGTGCACACGGTGGCCTCCCTGCTGAAGCTCTACCTGCGGGAGCTGCCCGAGCCCGTGGTCCCTTTCGCCAGGTACGAGGACTTCCTCAGCTGCGCCCAGCTGCTCACCAAGGACGAGGGGGAGGTTAGTGGCTCCCGAGGACTCGCCCTGGGAGGTGGGCCTGCGGGGGAGGGGTGTGTGTGTGTGGAGTCAGGACACAGAACTCTGACCTTCATCATTTTGTGGCACAGAGATGCCGCCTGCAGTTCGCTCTGTGTCGGGTGGGGTGGGGTGGGGGGGCGGGGGGAGACAGGAGAACCCTCTGGGGGAGGCAGACTCCTCTGTCCTGTGTGGGGCACAGTCTGCAGGATCCTGCTGGGGCGGGGCTGGAGCATCCTCTCTGGGAGGCCCCCCCTGTGAGGCCTGGGTCTGGGGGCGGGGCGCGGGGCACGGGGCCAGGCTCTGGTCATGCCCCAGGACACCACACAGTAGGTACTGACCCTGCACTTACCTGCACTGCCCAGGTGGCCCCAGCGGCCAGAAACAAGCAGACCTTCCCTTGTTCGCACCTGCCCCTTCCTAAAGAATTCACGTGGGGACGAGGCTCCTGCCCCCTCGCAGTGCCTGCCGGGGGAAGGGCTGTTTGCCTCCCTGTGGCTGTGTGGGGGATGAGGGGTCTTTATCTGGCAAATATTTGTGTCTCGATAAGCACTGGCCCTGACATTCCTCCAGGAGGTCACAGGCCGGCCGCTCCTCGCTCCTCGGCCTGCTCCTCGGAGGGAGGTGGAGGTGGTGGTGCCCTCTGGTCACCCAGAGGCCAAATGGGTGGCTGGAGGTCTGGCCTCTGGTGCCTGCCGCCCCCTGCCCACCTCCCTCCTCCCTGCCCACCTCCCTGTCCCTGCCTCGGGGAGAGAAGGGCCAGCTGCTGGTCTCAGAAATGCTGTTTTTCTCTCCCAACACCAAGGGGACTCTGGAGTTGGCTGAGCAAGTGAGCAGCCTTCCCCTGGCCAATTACAACCTGCTCAGTTATATCTGCAAGTAAGTGGCTGGGGCAGGCAGGGCTGGGCCTTCTCCCACCCGCTCTGCTCCCTGAATGTCAGTCAGCCAACAGGGGCCTTGGAGATCGGGCCGGCACACCCAGCGGACAGCCTCCGCGGGGCAGGCAGCGTAAAGTCCTGCGATCCGCAGGGAAGATCCATTGGAAAGAATGGGACGGACCCGTGCTTTCTGCCTCCTCTCAGTGCCTCTCGCAGTTCCTGCCCCAGGAGGCTGCCTCCTGACCATGACCCCAGCTCAGGTGCTGGGAGCGGGTGTGCAGGGTGGCGGCCTGGGCCCTCCCAGACCTCTGCCCCCACTGCAGGCGGGACAGTCGTGTGTCCCCCTTCCATGCTGACAACCACTGGCTTTTGCTTCTGCTGCCCCCACCCCGGGCCCCAGGGGAAGCTCTGCCCTCTCTGAGCGGGCAGGGGCAGCTGGCTGTGCCCTTGGCCCTGGGAATGTGGGCGTGGCTGGGTGTGGGCGCCAGGCAGCTCCCAGCACAGCTGGCGGCAGGATTTGCTTCTCCACCCACGGCCGCTTCCTCACCTGCAGGTTTCTGGATGAAGTTCAGTCCCACTCCAATGTCAACAAGATGAGCGTCCAGAACCTGGCAACCGTTTTTGGACCTAATATACTTCGGCCACAGATAGAAGACCCAGTGACCATCATGGAAGGTAACCAGTGTCACCTGGGAGACATCCCCGGCCTGTGCCAGAGCCTGTGCCCGAGAGCGTGGATGGTCAGGCCCTCGCATGGATGGTCAGGCCCTCGCACCCTCGGCAGCACAGGGTGACATGGGGCAGCTCTGACGCGCAGGTTCTGGCTTTCAGCCCCGCCTGCCAGGAGCGCACTTCACCACCTTACTGGGCACGGTGCCCGCTTCCGCCTCCTCCCGCACCTGCTGGATGGAGCGCGCTGGGCGGCTGTCCCAGGAGGGCATTCCTGGGCAGGACCCCTCTGTCTGGGCCTGGATTTGGAGGGTGGCTGATGGCAAGCTCTTGTTGGTCCTCTCTTGAGGGACAGCCTGCCCCCTGGGTCCCAGCAGCAGCACCCAGAGCCCGGCCTGGAGACGCCCACAGCCAGGCCTTTGTTCCGTCTTCCTGGCAGGCACGTCCCTCGTCCAGCACCTGATGACCGTCCTGATCCGCAGGCACAGCCAGCTCTTCAGTGGGAGGGCCCCAGAGGGGCCGGCCGCACCCCACGGGGGCCCACCCTGCACCGTGGGCTGGGGCTCGGAGGAGGTTCCGGGGGACAGCCAGGCAGAGCCCGGGGGCCCCCGCCCGCCCTCACTCAGGACCTCGTCTCTGGACGGGGCGGCAGTGGCCACGCTCTCCAGGAACTCTCCCCGGGGCCCTGGGAAGAGGCTGCAGACCCTGCCCAGCTGGAAGTCCTCCTTCCGGCAGGCCGGGTCTCGGTCGGGCAGCTCGTCCCCGGAGGTGCCCACCGTCTCCTCCGGCGGGAACTGGCTCATGAATGGGCTGTCCTCCCTGCGCGGCCGCCGCCGGGCCTCCTCGGGGGACCGGCTCAAGGACAGCGCCTCACAGAGACTCTCCACCTACGACAATGTGCCGGCGCCCAGCCCCGGCCCCAGCGCGCCCAGCGTGTCCAGCTCGGCCTGGTCGGGGGCCTCCTCCTGCGAGGCCTCCCCGGGGGGCTCCGTCAGCAGCTGCACCGCCTGCCGGGCCAGCGACTCTGCCTGCAGCTCCCTGCACCCCGAGGGCACCCCCGAGCCCTCCCCCGCTCCCAGCAGCAGCGAGGAGCTCAGGTCCCCGAACCCGGGGCGCAGCCTGGAGGAGGCGGCCGTCTGCCTCAGCAGCAGTGAGCCCAGCGAGCCCGGCAGCCCGGCCCGGGACCCCGCGCCCCACTCCAAGGCTCTCCAGGGCCTGGTGGCGGAGCTGCGGGCGGAGCTGTGCCGGCAGAGAACCGAGCACGAGCTGAGTGTGAGAAGGTAAAGGGCTGCCTCCGCCGCCTCGCCTTGCTCTGAAGGAAAGCCCCCCTCCCACCCCGCTGGGGCCGGCGCAGAGCAGTGGGCCCTGGAAATCCCCTTTCTGGGGGACGCCCCCGGACAGGTTGGGGGTGGAGTTTGGGGTCTGTGTCCCAGGAGCCTCCCCAGGCCTTTGATGGAGGGGCTGGGCAGGAGGCGGCCCCAGCTGTGCTTGCTCACCCGGTTGTCCCCACATGTCATGCAGGCCCCAGGCCAGCCTGGCCGAGGGCTTGGGCCTGTAGCTGATCAGATGGGATCGGAATAGGATTTCCCGGAGGGAGCTGAGCCAAGCCCTGCCCGCCTGGCCTGGGAGAATGCTCAGTGCCGTGTTCTTGCTCCCAGCCGGCCCTCCTTCCGTCCTCCCGCCCGGGTGAGGAGGGTGTTGCCAGCTCTGAGCCAGGTGGTCCAGCCAGGGCACAGCAGAGCCCGCGCTGGGCAGCATGCGGTGGGTGCTTCCCACAGCGTCTCCGATCCCCAGTCCAGCTGTTGGGCCTGCAGGCCCTTCCCACCCACTGGCCAGCGGTTCTGGGCTTCCCTCCCCACCGGGGACGGGGCGGGGCGGGGTGGGGGGGCGTTCCACCGGGAGCTGCAGTGGCAGCGGGGCCCTGTGGCTGGGGAAGCCAGGTCCTGGCACCTGGGAGAGTCAGGCGTGTGAGGGGCGTGTCCTTGAGGGTAGACGACAGGAGAAAGGCTTAAGGACAGAGGCCCTGAGGAAGGTCAGGGAGGTCACGTCTGAGCAGGACTGAGGCCGAGAGGGTGGAGTTGAGCGAGGAGAAAGCTCACGGCAGGAGAAAGCTGGGGCACACGCTTGGTGGAAACCCTAGAGCAGTGGTTCTCAACCTTCTGGCCCTTTAAATACAGTTCCTCATGTTGTGACCCAACCATAAAATTATTTTCGTTGCTACTTCATAACTGTAATGTTGCTACTGTTATGAATCGTAATGTAAATATCTGATATGCAGGATGGTCTTAGGCGACCCCTGTGAAAGGGTCATTTGACCGCCAAAGGGGTCGCGACCCACAGGTTGAGAACCGCTGCCCTAGAGGGAAGTGGGTCTCCAGCGAGTAACAGTGGCAGCAGGGAGGGCAGATGGAAGCCAGGCACAGGCCGGTCGCCCCCGCCGCCTCGGGGTCTGAGCAGCTCCTCTCGGGCCGGTTTCTCGGGAAACGGTATTGCGTCATGGTGGGCTCTGGCCAGACCCTGGGGCGTCCCTGCCGGCCGCAGACTGACAGCGTCCAGGCAGGCTCTCGGCGCTCCGGCGACCCCATGCACTTGTTAAGAGGACTGAGTGACACATGGGGCAGTGGTCAGCGCACAGCTGCCACATCCGGTGCTGAGACCCGCTCCTGTCACCCCCTGCTTGGGTTGGAGGTGAGAGCAGGCCGCAGGCCAGGGCAGCAGCGCTGTCCCCGCCATGGTCCCTGGTAGCGCCGTCCTGCCATGTCCGGGTTGGAGGTGGGCGAGTGAGCAGGGGCTCTGGGTGCAGGAAGGAGTAGGGCGCTGGTAGTGGGCCTTTGGATAGAGTCTGTAACTCTGGACCTGCAGCGTTAGAGCCAGGTCTGGGTGGGGGGCGTGGATTCAGCTTTCTGCCCTGCCTCTCTGTGCCCTGATCCCTGCACCCCCAGAAGAGTGTCCGATGTGCCACAGTGCTAGGTGCTGGGCCCTGGGCACAGCTGTGACCAACACTGATCTCAATCTCTGTCCTCATTCTGGTCACGCAGCTGTGGGGGCACAGAGACCGTACAAGATAGATTTTAAAACTCGCGGACTGTTAGAGGGGGGAGGGAGGGCGGCTTGTTGGAGTGTGAGAGGGGGCGCTGGGGGGCAGAGGGCAGGACCATGTGGTCAGAGCATGCTCTGGATTTTACACATTCGACTCTGAGTGACCGGAGGGCCTGGAGCACTTTGACCACTCGGAGGGGTGTCCCTGACTGCTCTCCTGAGGACACTCCACCAGTTAGGAGGCCACGGCGTCCAGGCCAGGATGGGTGCCATGGCCTAAGGGGCAAGCAGTGAGGTGAGGAGAAGAGCCAGATGCTGAACATATTGGGGAGGTTTTGCTAATCGGTCCACTGTGGGGTGAGAAAAAGAACTGATTTGAGGACAGTTTTTTGGCCAAGCAACCGGAGGAGGCGCTCACTGAGGAGGAGCGGGTGCAGGAGCGGGTGCAGGCCGGGCTCAGCTGCAGGCCTTGAAGTCGGGATACTTATTTAGTTGGAGTGGAGTGGAGGGATAGAGAGGCTGAGAGCTTGGAGACTGGACAGGTTGCTGGTCTAGTGTCATGGGGGTGGGGGGCAGGCCAAACTTGAAGGCCCCGGTGGGTGGGAGGCGTTGGCGGTGAGGGGCCTGGGCCTGGAGGAGAAGTGAGGGTCGTGGGCTGTGCCACCTCCCGGGGGCCTTCTTTCCGACAGCATGCCCTGTGCTCCCGATGGAGGGCTGGGCGGGGGAGGTTTTCTCCCTTCCCTATGCGCCGAGTTCGCTGGCTGAGCTGGAGGCATGGAAGCTGCAGTGTTGGGAGGTGTCCCTGCGTTTTTCAGAGAGGACACCAGGGCTCAGGGCACGTGTGTCTGCCCATAGTCATGCGCCTTGGGCGTAGCCAGGCCAGTCCCCCCGGTCTGGCTCAGCATCCCTCAGGCCTTGCAGGAGCTGCTGGCGTGTGGTGGAGGAGACCGTGCATGCCAGCTGTAGGAGTGCAGGGTGAGGAGATGGTGTGTACCAGCTGTAGGAGTGCAGGTGGCTCTCTGGTGGCAGAGAGGGGCAGTATGCGGCCTGCTGGGAGGATCGAGGTGTGGTGTCAGCCTGGGGCATGGGGTGGGGCAGCAGGAGGGAGTGGAGGGGACTGAGGTCCTGCTCTCCACACTGAGGACAGCTGGCCGGCCCAGAGGGTAAGTGGTCTTCACATGTAGTGAGGATTCAGAGGGACCCCTGGCCTCGGGTACCCAGGGCCAAATGCTCCCATGGCGTTTCTGGATCATGGCTGAGGGCAGTGCTCGGGGTGGACCTCGTGAGCCAGCCCAGCTGCCCGTGTGCCCCGCAGCCCTTCCTCACCGGGCAGCCGGCGGGGCCTCGACAGTTGCTCTCTCAGCAAACCCAGCAGGGCAGAGTCTAAAACAGTATCTTTCTTCTTGATTGTTAAGACTTGAAGACGGTACCGCCGACCTGAGGAAACGAATGTTGCGGCTGGAGGAGGAGCTGGACCAGGAGAAGAAGAAGTACACGATGCTGCAGATTAGGCTGCGGAACTCGGAGCGGGCGCGGGCGGACGCCGAGAGGAGGAACCAGCTGCTGCAGGAGGAAATGGAGGAGTTTTTCTCCACCCTGGGCAGCCTGACTGTGGGGGCCAGAGGTGCCCCACAGTGAGGGAGCTCACTGCTCGCCTCCCTCCGCAGGGAGGGGGGGCTGTGAGGAGCCCCGAGCCCTTGCCTCCTGGACCTCGGCAGTGCCTGGTGCCCTGCAGCCAGTGGAGAGGGAGTGTCGCCTCGCGGCCAGGGCAGCCTGACCCCTCATGCCATCTGGCTGCTCTGCTGTGACTGGCAGGTGCCAGAGACCACAGGCCCGTGGCCACCAAAACAGATGACGCCTGGGATCCAAGGAGCACCCCAGGGACACTGCCTTCTTTATTAAATTCGCTCTGCAAGTGGGATGCCTGGCTCCTTCTTTAAGGTCAAGCGAAGTGGGGGTTACCGAGTGACCTCTACGCTTTACCAGGATTGGGGTCCTCACGGTGTCTGTAGGTGGAATGCCAGTGGGCGGGAAGCTCCCTGGGGGCACCCAGAGCTGCCACAGCTGTGAAGCTGGAGCTACACCAGTCCATGTGCTCAGCTCCCTCATCCCTGCGCTCGGGCAGGACCACTTCCTCCCCCTCCCGCTCCCAGGGCTGGAGCCTGCCCAGCGGGTCCTGGGCCCCACCCCCACCCCTGCGGGCCCAGGAGCCTGCTTTCGTCTGCCTGGCCAGCTCTGCTCCAGGGCCCAGGCCTCAGGCTGTGCCCATCTCCCATGCAGACTGCTGTCAGGTTGATGCTAATCCTCTCCAGAGCCCATTCACCCTCCTCCAGTTCCTCCTCCGTTCAAAGCTCCAGTGAGGACCCTGGCTGGTGTCTCAGTGGTTAGAGCACTGGTCCAGGCACTGAAAGGTCAAGGGTTCGATTCCCGGTCAATGGCACGTACGTGGGTTACAGGTTTGATGCCTGGCCCTGGTCAGGACATGTACGGGAGGCAACCAATTGATGTGTCTCTCTCACATCAATGTTTCTCTCTCTCTCTCTCTCTCTCTCTCTCTCTCTCTCTCTCTAAAAAAAAAGCAATGGAAAAAATATCTTCTATTGAGGATTTTTTAAAAAGCTCCAATTAGGGCAAATCTTTAAGGAAAGCCTTTCCTTGGCGCCACATGCAGCCTGAGCCTGGCCAGAGCTCCGCAGCGTGGGCCACAGGGGCGCCAAAGACACCCCTCCAGGAGGACAGCACCGGCGCTGGGCGCTGGCAAAGCCAGCCCAGTGTCCTTACACAGCACCTCTCCTTCCCTGGAGCAGTCACTACAGTGGGTTTTTGGGGGGGTGGGGGTGGTGAGGAGTGGGTCACCAAAGTGCCCCAGTTTCTGACCACGATCTCTGGAGAAGTCTGAGGCCCAGAGCCCACCCACCTCGAATCAGGTCTAAACTGCACCATGTGGTGAATGCAGGGCCTCGCTGCCCAGGCACCGCTGGCACCGGGGCCAGAGCTCTGCTGGGAGCTCTGCTCAGGCCACTGCCATCACAACAGCAACTGCCAGGTTCCCCAGAAGGTGGAAGCCCTCCTCTCTATTTCAAGGAGAAACAAAATACGAGGTGACTGATTCCTCTCAGCCTCACAGGAAGGTAGGAACTGGCCCTCACACCCCTTTCAGAGGAGAAAGTGAGGAAGTGGGGACACCCATGTGTTCCTGAGTTCCACTCTCCTGGAATTCTGCCAACTTTGACCTGGAGAGAAAATGCCACCAGGCTCTCGAAGGAATGGAAAATACCAAAGAGGGTTCATGAGTGGAAAGGGAGGCCATCTGCCCTTAGCCGCTAACATTGGCTACCGGCTCAGCTGCCCATCAAGTCCTTTGTCAAAACCAGCTCAAAAGCCGCATGTGCCACCTGCTGGCAAAACTAGGATCTGCAAGTGAATCCCATTACTCCTTATAAAAAATAATAATAAAAACAATCCCATTTACATTGCAACAAAAATACCACCTAGGAAAAACTTAACTAAGGAGGTAAAAGACCTTTACTCAGAAAATAATAGGATGCTGAAAAAAGAGATAGAGGAAGATATAAACAAGTGGAAGAATACCTTTTATGCTGTGTTCATGGATTGGTAGAATTAACATCATGAAAATGTTCATACTACCCAAGGCAATCTATAGATTCAATACAATCCCTATTAAAACACCAATGGCATATTTCATAGACCTAGAACAAACTCTCCAAATATTCATATGGAATAAAAAAAGACCCTGCATAGCCTCAGCAATCTTGAGAAAGAAGAACAAAGTTGGAGGGACCACAATACCAGATATCAAGTTATACTACAAAGCCCCTGTAATCAAAATAACCTGATACTGGCACAAGAACAGGCATATAGACTAATGGAACAGAACAGAGACCCCAGAAATCAACCCAAACCATTACACTCAATTAATATTTGACAAAGGAGGCAAGAGCATACAATGGAGTCAAGACAGTCTCTTCAATAAATGGTGCTGGGAAAATTGGACAGATACGAAAAAAAAATGAAAGTAGATCACCAACTTACACCATACACAAGAGTAAACTCAAAACGGACAAGAGACTCAAATGTAAGTCGTGAAACCATAAACATCCTAGAAGAAAACATAGGCAACAAAATATCAGACATCTCATGTAGCAGAGGTTTCACAAATATATTTCCTAAAGCAGTGACTCCCAAAGTGGGCGCTACCGCCCCCTGGTGGGCGCTACAGCGATCCAGGGGGGGCGGTGATGGCCACAGGTGCATTTGTTTTAACTTTTTTTGTATTACCTTTCTATTCTGAGTTCAATAAATAGTTTCATAATTTCAAACTTCAATGTTTCTAATTTACACCTTTCTTTACTATATTTTACGAAAAAGGTAGAAACATTAATACATATATCTTTCTGTTTAATTGCTATTAAAATTTTAAAAAAATTAATTTCCAGGGGGCGCTGAGTAATATTTTTTCTGGAAAGGGGGTGGTAGGCCAAATAAGTTTGGGAACCACTGTCCTAAAGCAAGAGATAATAATGGGACGACATCAAACTAAAAAGCTTCTGCACAGCAAAAGAAACCAGGATCAAAATGAAAAAGAACCCATTGTATGGGAGAACATATTTGCCAATGATACATCTGATAAGGGGTTAATTTCCAAAATATATAAAGTACTCGTACAGCTCAACAAAAGGAAGAGAAACAATCCAATTAAAAAAATGGGCAGAGGACCTGAATAGACACTTCTCCAAAGAGGAGTGTCTATTAAAAAATACAGATGGCCAAGAGACTTATGAAAAAATGCTCAACAGCACTAATTATCAGAGAGATGCAAATTAAAATGATAGGGAAATATTACCTCACACCTGTCAGAATGGCTACCATCAGTAAATCAACAAACAAGTGCTAGTGAGGATGTGGATAAAAGGGAGCCCTAGTGCACTGCTGGTGGGAATGCAGACTGGTGCAGCCACTATGGAAAACAGTGTGGAGTTTCCTCAAAATATTAAAAATAGATCTGTCATTTGACCTAGAAATATATCCTAAGAAGCCTAACACACCAATCAGAAAGAATGTATGTACCTCTATGTTCATAGCAGCATAATTTACAATAGCTAAGATCTGGAAACAGCCCAGGTGCCCATCAGTAGATGAGTGGATAAAAAGCTGTGGTACGTTTATACTATGGAATACGATGCAGCAGTAAAAAAGAAGACTCTCTTACCCTTTGAGACAGCATGGAGGGACCTGGAGAGTATTATGCTAAGCGAAATAAGTCAGAGAAAGACAAGTATCACATGACCTCACTCACATGTGGAATCCAATGAACAAAATAAACCGATGAACAAAATAGAACCAGAGACATTAAAGCATAGAACACACTGTGGAATCTCAGAGGGAAGGGGGTGGGGTGAGCAGGAAGAGATCAACCAAAGAACTTGGGTGGAGTGGGTCAATGGGAGGGAGGGGGAACGGGACATGTGTAATACTTTCAACAATAAAGATAAATTAAAAATAAAATAAACTTCATGAAGTCAGTTCTATAAAACACATGAAGTCAGCCATTGCAGTAGCCCTGGGAGGGACTATCGCCCACCTCACCCGACAGGAAGCAGCCTGGCTGTGCGACTTGCCCCCGAGGACCCAAACTCCCCTGAGCTCGGCTGACCTGGGTCTGCAGGAATCAGCAGACCCCACCCTCTAGTCTAGGACCTGTCTGGCCAGGGCTTCTTGTTCTCCTTTTAATCTGCTCTGACCCCTCAGCCTCCCCCACTTTTCTCTCAAGACATTGTGATTCTTTATGCTGCATGTCCTGCCCATGTTTCAAAGCTTTCACCCCTGCCTCCCGGCCACTCAGTCCTTAGCCATCCGAGCTTTGCCCGCGGTGCAGGCAGCGCTCATCTCACACGTGCGACACCGCACAGGTGTCCCCTTCTCGTTTCCGCTGTCAGCGAACTGACCCTGCAGGGCGCCCGCAGCGGCGGGACCTCACGAGGGGGACCCGAGGGGGAGCCGAAAGGCAGGAGGAGGCTCCGAGCAGGATTGCTCCCCGGCCCTGACACGCGCAGGTGCCCGCACAGACTGCACGCTGGTCCGTGACCCGAGGGGACATGGGAGGCCTCCTTCCCGCACAAGCGCTCCCAGGGCCAGCACCCCCTCCGCCTGCTAACTGGTGAGTGAGCTTGGCCAGGGCACCGAGCCCCTTCCCATCTCAGGCGAGGACCGCTGTCAGCTGGGCCCTGAGGCCCCGTCACCACCTTCCAGCCCACTGGCGTCCCTGCCAGGCACCCTCCCAACCAGAGGTCTGCGCAGAGCACTCATTCTCCCGACTACAAGTTTCTTTACCTTTAAATAAAGACAATTCCTCCAAAACGTTTCATTTCCGACCCCAGGTTTCAGTCTTATTTCCATTCTGTTCTCGCTGCACACTCCGTGCCCATGCCGGGCATGGCTCATTCCTTGCCCATCCACGTTGAAAGCCCTTGCCTGTCCCTTAACCTGGGAAATGCCTCCTCTCCAACCTTCCGTAGCAGGAGGCTCCACAAAACGCCGCAGCCGCTTCCCGAGCGCACACGGCGGCGTCCGGTTAGTTCCTCTCCTCTCCGCGCAGGGCGTGGGCCTGAGCGCGCTCTGATGAGATGAGATGGGAGGAGATGAAATGTTAGACACCCAACATTTACAAAGTACATTTGAAGCAACTTTTAAGTTTAAAATAAAGTCCAGAGACACATTGGTATATTAGTTGTAAAAGCTAAAAAAGTTTTTAAAGCACAAACCCGTGCAATGTAACTTCATTCCCATAAAGCCAACGGGCCTTCCGGGAACATCAGCTAATGCAGCCCCGGAACGAGACCGGTTCCTCCTTCACTCGGTGCTGCGCCTCCCGAGGCCTAGCAGTGACCGCTACATCCGAGCGCTCGGCCATGCCGGACGGTGACCTGGCAGTGACCGCTGCATCCGGGGCGCTCGGCCATGCCGGACGGTGACCTGGCAGTGACCGCTGCATCCGAGCGCTCGGCCATGCCGGACGGTGACCTGGCAGTGACCTCTGCATCCGGGCGCTCGGCCATGCGGGACGGTGACCTGGCAGTGACCGCTGCAGCCAAGCGCTCGGCCATGCCGGACGGTGACCTGGCAGTGACCGCCGCGGCAGAGCGCTTGGCTCCTGGACAGTGAGCTCACCGCAGGGTCCCGTCTGCCTTTGCTCAGAGCAGAGGTGCGAGTGCAGGGGGCGGGGCAGCGCGGATGCGGGATCACCTGAGCAGGAGTTGAGGGAGATGGAGTGTCAACTCCCAGAGCCTGGGCAGGCAGCGGTGACCCGCCAAGCAGCCTGCCCGCTGGCGGCAGTGGGAATGGACGGGCCAACCTGAAGCCCGGTTTTGGAAAGAGATGCTTTTTACGTATTTATTCCCGCTAAGTGGTCATGATGGCTGTTCTCTCACATGATTACCAAGAACTAGGGTAAGGGTGTTGAAGCAAATTCCCTTAAGCAAAGGTTTCCTCAGTGATTTCAAGCACCAGAAAAGCAAGCGCAGATAAACCAGGAAACCGGGGCATGGTTTAGGCTCCTCAGTCTACACAGAACCGAACCTAGGAAACCTGCCCCGGGGTCACCCTTCCACCCCACCTACAGGGCATCTGAAAATCACCCGGGAAAACTTTTTAGCAAAAATTCAGATAATTTTCAATGAAAACACTTAATTTCATAGTGTTCATACCACTTTTTCTTTTTTATTTAAAATATTGTAACCAATGAACATACTAGATAACATTGTCTACATCCAGTGGTGCATGTTTCATGACTAGGGCATGAATGATAAAAACCACAATGATCTCAGCATTCCCTACAAAGTGCCCCATTTTGTTTGTCTAGAGGAGGGAATGGAACGGGGAGGAACCAGGAGTGGCGTTGTCCAGGGAAAACGCAAATGGCAGTTACCATATTTGGGTTTCAGGTGGTAACACCTGCTGAACAGGATAAACTGTAATGAGAAAATAGATGTCACAGTTCAGGTAGACAGCTAGTTCAATTTAAATTCATCATTCAGCTAAAAGTTTAAGAGCTTCTCAAAAATATACCAAATATCGGGCCTACAAAAGTAATTTATTTCTTCGTAAAGTTTAGACTTAGTCCTTTTGTAAAATGTAAAGGATGGACTGATGTCAGGAGCAGGTTTCTACTTGCAAAACAGACAGTAATAACGTCCGACAAGCACACCTAACAATTCCGAAGCTACACAGCAGGAGGTCTGACATGGAGTCTCTCTTACTGATGCCGGTATGTATTTCACATACTTACTGGTATTGTGTCAACACTGACTATCAAGTGTTTCACACACACTTATACTCACACCCAGTAAAGAGCTAACAGCAAGGGCTACGGCTTACTTGGGAAAGCATAGAAAATTAGTGTGAGGTAGTTCAATACAAACCTAATTTGTACGTTATTGTGAGAATAAAACATTGTGCAAAACTAATCCACAGGTAATAGTTCTTAAAATTCAGTAATGAAGAGAATCTAAACCAGAAATGACCAAAAAGTGTTACTCTTACTAGACTCTCCTAAGAGCACTTAACTAAGAGCAGTTAGTTTGAAATTAATTAGGACTTATTTTCCTTATGAGTTTTCTAATCATACCCCAAACTGTACATTTCTGCTTCAATGCCCTTTACCCCTTCATCTTTCTTGCTATTAGGAAAATTAGTTTTCCCTGATTCAGAAAAAAACCTAAGAGAGATGAGTAGAAACACACTCGATAGTAACAAGTAAAGGACATAGTTGACATTGAAGAGGCTGCTAATGACAAGATGGTGGTTTGTCTTCTACCCGTGAGTTTACTGGGACCTGGGGCTTCATGTGGTCATGCTACAGCTAATGCGATCAATGGACACTCACAAGCTACAACCGTATTTCTGAAAACAGACTATGCTTTCACCTCAGTATGTGCAGGCTCTGCCTGGGCCACACTGAGTGGCTGGTGTGACCCATGCTACCTGCGACCCGGAGCAACTCCCTGGCCTGCCGCCTGCTTCACTCTGACACCTTCACCTTTTCGGGCAGCACAGCAGGGTGAGCATGGGGGAAGCTGGCTGCTTTACACACAACCCGCTTCTCTGGGCGGCAGCTGCATTTCTCTGGGGAAGTCTGGTGTGATGCGTGTGCCTCTACCCCCCTGGGAGAGTGCGTGCCAGGAGCCACAGCCATCGAGGATGCGTGGCAAAGCGAGAACTGTTCAGCTAACAGTAGGAACGGGCTGAGATGCTCGATGTATGTATAGTGTAAGTAAGCAATCCCAACAATTATTTTACAAATGATCAATACACATTAGAGGGTAACAGAATAGTAAGCAGAAAGAAATATGTAGAGAGAATTATAATTAGTGTCTCTTTCCTAACCTATAAAGTTGAGTAATAGATCTTGGTCAAAATAACTCTGACAGTAAGAAGATGGTACATTAAGTGTATAAAATTGAAAAACCAAAGTTTAAGATAAGGTGGTTTTACATGAAGTACTGCCAGAAAGAAATCTTATTTGTAATTTCTGTTAAAAAAACAAACACAAATGTTTAAGATATTTTAAAGGTTCAAAAAGTTTTAAAAATAAAACGAACATGTATATCTTTACCTTAACAAATTTAAGAGGGAACGCTGTATTTAGATACTGCATTTTAAAACCCTAGGCACACAACATTTAACAGACTTTGTTTTCAAGAAAGAATTTAAGCATTTTTGTCTCCATTAACTAATGAGTTCATTTTCTCTGGATCAACTGAAACATGCTGGTTGGCAAGTGGGAGCTGGCATTTACAACAAATAATACAGTAACAACACCTGGTTTTCTTGCTTAACCAACATCTGTATCAACAGAGATGGCTTGTTAGCAATCAAACCTAAACTATGGGGAGCTTCTGAAAGCATGTCAGTTGTTAAAGTGCAATAGTGAAATGGTCTATCCTAGAAAACAGAGCTAGTTAACTGTCAAACTCATATACACAAAGGACACACTTATGCTTAAACGTCTCCGTACATCCAATCCTGTTTCTACAAATCAGGGTGTTACAGTCTCAAAACTCTAATTTGCTAAATGAAATTAATGCACCATGTTGTATGAGTAGAAAAGGGACTGATACAAAGGTTGACAGCTTCTAAAGAGACTGGAAATCATGACTTTAAAGCATCAAAAACAAACTTGCTATTTCAAATTATATAAAAAGGTTAATGTATTTGAATCCTAAATATTGCACAGTAACAATGATCACTCAAAGGAATTTTGCACTAAATATACAAATCACATGCCAGGCGAACTTGGAGACACTGTGTTGCGCTGCACCAGTGCTTGCTCCTGTTGGTCACTAACTCCAATGAGCTTCCTGCTAGAACCTTGCCACGTATCTAGTGTGCACTTCCTAGTTCATGACATGAAATCCCTCTTGTTCCAAACATGACAAAAGGTCCTGGGGCATCACAGACAATGCATTCAGAGATGAGACTTCATGACATTTTACTTAAGAAAAATTCCGTTGTAAAGAAATAATCTGCAGATATAAAATGTAAACAGTTACATCACTGTCAGAGCAGCACATCTACCTACTCAACATTCAGTTTTACTGAAAATCAGATATAAACAATGAAAGTCTCAGACTAAATAATCACCATTTATGCCTGCTCTGCTCAGTGTGGAGAAACGGTCCTTGGGAAATGACACCTTGTATATGGCTGTGTGCTACTATTTTCAGATGAACGGTATATTGCTCATTGGATACCTCACCTACAGAAACCTCAAGAGGCTCTGGAACCTCCCGACAGCTAGTGGAGACAGATTTGCTACAGGTAGAAGCAAGTGGCCAGAAGCACCAGGCTGGTGCTCAGCTGACTGCCACTCCAGCAGGAAACCGAGAGGCCCAAGGCCCCGCTGTGAGAGAGGAAGGACCAGCTCCAGACCATCCACCACTGGACCTGCAGCCTGAGGAGCTCAGCTCAGTGTGTGCAGGAGCAGGCTCACAGCTACAAGTGAACCATCTGCTTATCTGCACTGAAATGTATTACTCATGAAGTATCCTTTTGACTTTATGTGATGGTGAGGTTTGAGCATGCCACAGACTTGCAGGAAACACCATATTCTTTTCACTTTACTTCTGTTGGGTAAGGGGTGGGGGGAGTAGAAGGGTGGTGGTGGTGGATGCCCAGCATCTTCAAAAACATGCTCAGAGTTCTTCTGCCATTTAGATGATGGGGCTTTTGCCAAAATTCATGTAGGATTACTACCAATAGTTGTAACTAAATTAGGATTGGCAAGTAGCAATATTGGAGGTTTTTTTTTTTGTTTTTTTTTTTAACACGTTCATCATTTACAGTAGTTATTCCTGAATATAACTGGCTACAGGTTACTTTCCCTCACTCCTCTGTGGTTATTTCATTGATAAGCACATAACCCTGAAGGATAGCATCATGAACAAAACATTTGAAATAATTTCTAATTAAAAAAAACTATAAAAATCTTAAATAATTCATGATATAGGCAAGTCACCACATAATAGTTGCTTTGATAAACAAAATCTTACAAATTCAGTAAAAAAATCAGCAGCATAAGATAAAGCAAATATGCAAAAATTTAAACCATGATAAAATAATTAGGTTTACATTATACAGTTAATTACAGCAAAAATACAATACAGTTTTGTTGCTGTTTTAAAACAACTTAAGTTTTAAATTACATCACTTGAAATTAAAAAAAATAAACTACTTTACTACAAAATGAATTCTACATTTTTGAAAAATCACTCAAAATAAGACCACTGACTTAGTTCTCAAAGTAGTTCTATCAATGACTAAACAAGTCCCCATCCCTCCCCTCCCACCCCCCAGGCCCAAGTAGTCATCTACAGCAGCCCAGAGGTCCAGCTGATGCTTCTAGGCTGCTGTCGGTATCCGAGGCCAAAGTTGGATCTGTTGACATTGAAGATACGTCGTTGACAGACGGCGATGACGATGGATGCTGAGAGCCATTGATCACTGCTGCACCTGTGCTATGAGAAACAAAACAGCAAATCAGTTGCAGACAGAGTTGCAGACCCAGTCACTTGTACTATATCGGCTACCTCCAGTGGTCAATGACTTTTCTCTTGGCTTTAAAAGGCCCACTAAAAATAATCACAAGTGAAATTCGGAACAACACTAATTTATGAACTCTTTTCATTACAACTTATGAGGTGAGAATTTGAACATGTCTTGAAACCCAGTGTCCTGTCCTTTCCACAAATTTGTTTTCAGTTCAAGATAAGAATTGTTAAGTTCAAGACACATTTAGAAATGGTCCTATTGCAAGATTCATAAATGGGCTTCAGGCTGTGTGAGAATACTGATGTTGTTATCGTAGACAGTAAGGGAGCACCAGGGAGTCTCCCCGAGCGCCCAAAATGGTGCAGGGGGTGATTCTTACACTGAGCACACCAAAAGATAGAAATATGAGTCGAGAAGGCCTGAAGGTGCCAAAAGCTAGAAATAGGAATGGGCAGGGCCTGAGGGCACCACACGCTAGAATATGAATGGACAGGGCCTGAACTGCCAAAAGCTAGGAAGATGAATAGACAGGGCCTGAGCCACCAAAAGCTGGAAATATGAATAGACAGGATCCAAGCAGCCAAAAGGTTGGGAAGATGAATGGATAGGGCACCAAAAGATAGCAAGACAATTGAATAGAAAAATAATAATAATAATAATGATCCCTTCCCTTCCTATCCCTAGAAGAACCACAGGCTTGAGCAGGAAGAGATGGGAGTTCACTGTTCTCTAAGGCAGTGTGGCTTCTGAATAAAACATCTTTTCTTTTGCACCAGCACCTGTCTCCTGAGTTTGGCTTTCATTGCAGTAGGCAGCAGAATCTCTGTTTTGTTTGGCTATTTTTTTTGGCAACTCTGGTGGGACACCATGGACCTTCACAAGTCCTGGAGGGCCTGGGCTGAGGCCCTAGCTGCCTGTGGCATGGCAGGCTGACCCCAACCCAGGAGCAGGTCTGTGGGGATTTCCCAGCAGCTACCAGAGGTTTTCTTGGAGAATTTCTTTGCACTTCCTCTCAATGCATGTTACCTAAAATGCAGGCTGGTGAAAGGAAACTGGTTTTGGGGAGCAGATGAATTACAAGACTGGGTAAGTCAAACTGCATGCACATTGGGGTCCTTTTCTTCCTGCCACTTGGGCTTTATGCTATCTGGGTCCTGTTAGGGCTGCTTGTGCTATCAGTTGGCAGAGTGTAAGACCTTAGGACTTGTTTGTATTTGTTTGGATTAATGGAATTATGGGCCCAAGCTTTGTTTAAATGTTCCCATTTCGTCTGGGGTCTTGCTATAGTTACCGTTTTGGCTTTGTACTTTTGTGCCATCAGGGGTTGTTCTGTTTCAACTCCTGAATGAAGGCCATTGGGTCCAATTTTAGAGATTAACCCATGTACAGCTATGATCCAATGACTAAGGAGGAGTTGGTTTTCTATTGTAATAGAAATACTTTCTATTTCTATTGTAATTCCTATATATACTTTAAACTATGGGGAAAAAATGGCCCCTAAATAGTTCCCTAAATTACTACACCATCATACAGTTGGAATTGTTTTGCTAAAGGTCAGAGAAATGAGATGAAATCCCTTACCTCCAGATGTTTATGTCTTTACACAACAAGAATTTGGCAAAAAAAAAAAAAAAGGAGGGGGGGGGGGGAAGGACCTAATGACCCAGAGAAGGAAATTGGCTTCAAAATAGTAAGACACAGGGAAAAAAGAGAAATGAGGAGATAAGTCTCTTTAATGCCCTGAACCCAGGAGACCCGGGATTAGCAAGAGGAGAATTTCGCCACCACTACCCTAGCTGCTGGATGCCCCTGAGATAGGTGCACATCCGAGGGGTGACATCCCCACCCCTATATGATAAAGGAATGGTCTCCCCCTTGAAGTCCTGGCAGGGCACCCAATTTGGCCAGGGAGCATCCCTATCCAGAGAATGACAATTCCCTTTGAGGCAATACCCTATAGACGGAATAAACCAGGAAGGCCAGCCTGCTGGTCACTATTGGGCCCACACTCCATTTTCAACTTCAGATTTACTGAATTGGAAAAATTTCAGCCCCTCATAAAGGGCGAATCCTCAGAAAATGGCAGATCTTAATACCTCCATTTTTTGTCACTCACCATCCAAACTGGGCAGATGTACAGGCTCTCCTTAACATCCTGCTAACGACAGGTGAAAGGCAGCTAGTTACAGATAAAGCTAATGAAAAGGTTCATCGTCTGCATTAAGAGAATCCTAATGGGACCCCCAACCCAGCTGGGATGACTCCCTTGACAGAGCCCAACTGGGAAGCACACAGGGGGGACCTAGCATCCCTGGAACATGACAGCAGGTGCATATCAGAAGGGCTGAAGAAAGGATCTGTTAGGCCTACCAAAAGCACACTGATGCTGACCCATAGGTACCAGAAAATGTCTGGAGGGGAAACATGACTTTTTTTTGGGCAAAGTGCCCAGATATCAGAAGGAAGCACCAACATTTAGATGGGGCATTGGGAATGAATCCCTCCCAGCTGGTGGACATAGCCTTGAAAGTTTACCATGCCTGGACACAAGGAAATTAAAGCAGGGCAATGTGTTCTTAGAAACAGTGTGGGAAATCAGAAGGGAAAGGGAAAGACCCACTAGCATCAATCAATGCACCTGCTGCAAAGTGGAAGGCCACTGAAGAAAGGACTGCCCAGAACTCAAAAAGAAAAAGAAAAAGGACAGAAACCCTTGCCAGGAAATGTGAGAAAGGAACGAGGAATCTGATGATGAATGAGGAGGCCCAGAGGCTCCCCTAGACACCTCCCGACCCATTACTATTTCCCTGCAGGAGCCCCAGGTACAATTAAGGGTGGGGAACAAGCTAACTGAATCACTGTAGCTACAGGAGCTACTTACTCAGCACTAAGTACAAAACTAACCAAGAGAAGCCCAGCTGCGGTGATGGTTGCTTGAGTGACCAATTACAAAACAGGTGTTCCTGCAAACTCTAGAACAGCCGTGGGCAAACTACGGCCCGCGGGCCAGATCCGGCCCTTTTGAAATGAATAAAACTAAAAAAAAAAAAAGACCGTACCCTTTTATGTAATGATGTTTACTTTGAATTTATATTAGTTCACACAAACACTCCATCCATGCTTTTGTTCCGGCCCTCTGGTCCAGTTTAAGAACCCATTGTGGCCCTCGAGTCAAAAAGTTTGCCCCACCCCTGCTCTAGAATGCCAGCCTGAGAATCAAAAACTTGTGCATAGTTTCTCCTCCTGCCAGACTGCTTGGTTCCATGGCTGGGCCAACTTTTACTGTGCAAACTGCATGCACCACATAACTTTTTCCCCCTGA